TATGTACTTTAACCAGGAGAGAGCTCAATGTACCAGGATAGAGTTTAATTTACAAATTGAATCTGGGTTACCAAAATAACCAGCCAGATGGCACCTAATCATGGCCGCTACCAATCCAGCTTTGACCTGGGCCGTCTGGGAATTGGCGTCTGTTTGGGAGGCAGGAATCGATTTGTATCGATATCTGGTACCAGTATTGTGTTTAACATTACAGGTAGTCCCCGACTTACGACGGGGATGCGTTACAACGACCCCATCGTAAGTCGAAGATGGCCCAGCCTACCCAGGAGTCTTAAAGAATGGTGATAATTGAGCAAAACAGAGCAATTTACAGTACCGTACTGTATAAAGATATACCGTATGTATTTATTAATTACAATACTGTATTGCACAGTACAATTTAAAGTAAAAAAAAACAAGGTAAATTCTTAGCCTACCTATATGAACTGCAATTTAATAGAAAGTTTTTTTTCCGGAAACAATCCTATCTGCCATAGAAACTTTTAACATGCATTGAACGTACGTATCGTGTCGTGGTAACCCTAAAATGAAATCGCTAAAGCTACGTATCATACATGCATTGAACGTATCGTATCATATTCTACTGTACTCACAAAGATTACGTCCGTAGTCTGCATACTTGAACGATGTTAGGTTGTTGATGGCTATATTAACTTAGTTGTCGGAAGAGGATGGCGATGATAAAGCTACAGTATCGTACCTCGTATGCTGCTGCGTTTGGCTGCCGCGCGAAATTAAAAAAAAATATTTTACAACTTTGTCATATCGCTATCGTAAGATCGAAATATCGTAAGTCGGGGACTACCTGTATTGTGCAGTAGACTGCAATAGACTGCACGGTGTAGATAGACCTAGGCTCAGTGCGAAATGTGAAAATGATGGCGACCCTACAAATTGTTCACATGGCAAGTGGCTTTCTGGGCCCATCCTTGAGCCCCATGTGATTGTTGCCAATGCTGTGTTTGCACCATCAAACACCGCCACGCAATTAACTTCCCTTTGTTTTTTTTGTGTCACTGGCCGAGATTGTGCAATGCCCCTGCGATGCAGTACTCCTGCAGTCACCACCGCAGAGTGTATTCCTGTCTCGGTGCATTCCAAGGGCCTGCTGGGCCAGTGCTTTAATGTGGCCAAAAATTGCAGCGACGCGGGAGCAATCGCAAGAGTATTTCTGTCTTTCCCATTGACCCACGCAGCTGTGGCCAAGAGATTGAGGCCAGTGGCGTGCCTCGCTTGGCTTCAGCCTCTGCTAAGTTAGCTCAGCCATAAATAGAGCACTGTAAGAACCGTTTTCACTGTCATCATGACCACTGTCATCATGGCAGCCTAAATAGGTGCTCCTCAACAGAAGCTGCCCTCGTGGCGTAGCTATCGAGCTGTGCTTTGTGGAGTAACTGTACCAGGGCCGAGACTCCAGGACACGTAGAGGGGGGGTTACATCGAACTGGGGCCCTGTTCACTTCCACGCACCAGGGTCCATCCCAACCACGCTATGTCACTGAGACAATGAAATTGCAGTGTCAAGTTTACAACGGTATGATCCCATGTACGGCTCTTTTGTCACTCCACTGCTGGATGACTGCCTCTCTACGCTTTGTGGGGCATGGGGGTTCTTTGACCATACTTCACCACTCTGGTCAGTGTAGATGTGTGAAGGGGGCGCCCGGTATTGGTCTGGTTATGACTAGCCACTGATGCAGGCCCTGGCCGGAAATCGAACTTAGACCTCGGGTTGCCGCCTGTCTGGGTTTGAGCCGGACAGTCCAGGAATTTTCGTCTGTGTTCGGGTCACAGGAATTGATTTGCATCAAGATTTGGTACTATCACACAAAACAATTATTGCTGTGGTTTTCCCACCTGATGACTATTGCTTGTGTTGCGATCGAAACGTCGAGATTTAATTTATTATATACCTACGTGACTTTACCCAAAGAACCAAAGAGCATGGATCCCTGCAGTCACGAAAACTTCAAATCAAGATTATCACTCGTGTGTTGGAATTCATTACTGGGCATCGCACAGTGTTGATAGGCCTAGGCTGAGTGAGGAATCCAGGTTAGGTCTGTGGAAGAGGTAGCGACCCTAACTCAGGACACTGGGTTCAGAGTGCAGGGCGCCAACCACTGTGCCACCGCTCCACCTGGGTCGCATCTTCTTACATCTAACAATAAACACATGACTTTCATTGCTGATGAAAATAAGCCGTAATTTTATGAGCACTAAGTTCTTACATTACTGCACTTTGCATAATTCTAGGTTTTGCAGTCAGGGTGTTTGATGATCAAGCACTCACCACTCCAGTCACCTGTGATCAGTTGCCCCCTTATCACTCATCTATCGCTACGACCATGATTACTGGGCCCGTGAACTTCATTCATGATTTCTCAGCTCGTGTTGAAGACTTGGTCTACAAGGCTCTGTTTCACCTCATCCATACTGTGTTCATCCACCACACTGCACCTCATTCCAACAAAGATCCCCCGTATAGCCTTAACAGACCCTTCGGGAAAAGTGCTGTTAGCGAGCACCTATGAAGGCCGGCACAGCACACGAGGGGGTGGGTGGCCAGCACCACGCCCGGCCACCTTCGTCTCCCGTGTGCCGATGTTTACACATCGCACCAGATACTAATTTTAAGCTGAGTCGACTTAGGGGAGGCCCAGGACCGGTTAAGAGTGGGTGGGTGTGTAGGTCGACTACACACTCACCCACTCACCCACTCAACCACAATACTGCAGATCACAACATCATTCACCCACCCACCTACTGCAGGTCATCTCACTTTCTCTCCCTGTTTCTCCCCTTGCTCTGCTTCACTCTGGTATTCTCTCTGCCATCATCGCCATCGTATCCTTCCCCCACAATTAATCTCGCTCAACTCAAGAAACACGTTACACTCTCACATTTTAGAACTTTGATCAGAGTGCTTATTGTTACTAGCCGCTTGACATTTTTGGGGACTGTTAAGCAGATATTGTGTTTTTTAAGGAAAACTGTTATTAGGGAGCCATTGGAGCTATGCACTTTTAAATCTAGACTGAAAACGCATTTCCGAAAACTGATTTTTGTGTAAAGTGTGATGTCCTTCCCCCGCACCTCCGATTAGCGCGGTTGGCCACGTACGGGGCGAAAGAAGTTCAATGTATGTGCATACATGCTATGCAATACGTGCCATCTCCGTGCAGGCTGACGTACGAAGTAATTAGTGACACATGGGAGTCTTGTGGGTACAGTAATTCAATCACGGTCACTTTTGTTTCAAGTCAACTTGAACAGAGGGCACTCAGTGTCAAAATAGAGAGTCTTAGCATCAATGAGTTCATGTCTGGGTATTAAATAAAATAGAGAGTCTTAGCATCAATGAGTTAATGTCTGGGTATTAAATAAAGGACAAAAAGTACAATATACTGCGTATTTAACAAAACAACTTAACACATTCCGTGCGAATAGCAACACCGTGTGTGCCTGGCCTTAAAATAAAAAAAATGATAGGCGACGTTTGGAGCAATGACTCTTTTTCATCGCATTGCCCGAAAGGTCGCCACATATATAGACAGTATTTTAATGTTGAGGCAGCGTGACTGATACGGAACGTGTTGAGTGTTGCTGTTGACTGTGCTAGTGCATCACTGTCAACGCAGCAGCAGCAGAATCACCGAATTATTTGTATTGTCCAAACAGGACAAAGCTCAAATGAATCATTCATCATCAACCATGATCAGTACACTGCTGGATGAAGGCCGTGTCATCATTCGGTTTCATTTGACCATACTTCACCACGCACGTTAGTGCGGGTTGCTTTACACTCTGGACACCCTTAAGCGATTAAAATTAAGATTGATTTTATTTCAACTGGAGGAGAAATCCGATAAGCTATGAAGCTCTTTTCACAGATGTTCAGTAGGGGCGGGCCAGCAAGTTACAATCCAAAAATTGATCGCAGTGCAAAATAGAGAAAAGGTAAGCAAGTCACAAAAACATAAATAGAAACAAAGTATTTAAATCCCAATAATAGGGGTTTTCCCCTTTTTTCTGGCAACAAAACTGAAACCTTTTTACAATTAATCATGTGTGCATTAACCACAACACTTGTGGTCAAAATGCAAACAAAAAACACACTGGTAATAGAGCCTCAATTGAATATGTGGATACATTCTTGCAGATTTTTCAACACTACGCTGTATTTGCAAGCTTCGGGAAAGCAGCAAAACAACAACAGTCCCAGACCACAACAAGAAAACACACAGTCCCTCAATAAAACTGCATATTAAAATGTAACCTTTGGAATCACGGCTAAAGGTCAAAGTTAGCATATGTGGTTGTATCCAGCACTTGTCTTCTGCTTCAAGGTTTTTTAAAATGAAGATTTACGATGTGAAGGTAGGAAACAATGTTGTTCCACGACATTGGTGCTGTAACGGCAAAGACTTTATCACCAATGCCAATTCTTGTTCTAGGGATAGTTAAAAGGTAATTAGACGGACGTTGTGAGTTTATTATTGGGGTTAATGAATTAGCGAAGTATTGTACAGCCCAAATTTTCCAAAAAGAATGATACGGATGAACATGGCCCAATGTAGATTTCTTCTCGCATCAAGCGAGGTAAGATAAAGTTTTAAGTAGATGTCACAATTATCACCCTCAAGGGAAAATACGTATAAATCTTAAGACAATTAAACAGTACGTTACATATGGCAACACTAATAAGCCATGCGCTCACCAGACGTGCGCATCAGTGTTACCATATTTACGTCAACCCCGGTCGGCGCGACTGACCAATCCAGGCGTTCTCGGGCGCGCAGTAGAATTCGTACAACGGATGCGCATGGGGGGGGGGGGCTTCCTTGTCGGACGTTGCCATTGGTCAATCCGTCTCGAGGCCTCGCGTCACTATTGGCTGACGCTCCAAACCGGCCATCGTCCGTTGACCAATGGAGCGGCCGGCGTCGGCCGATCCGCGCTGGGAAATGAAAAGAACCTCTACAGACCACGGGCGCGGAAGGGCGGGGAGTCGCGGAAGGGCGAAAGGAGGCGGCAGTAGCAGCAGTAGCAGCGAGTCGTCTGGGGCACTACTTGAACGTTCAGTTTAATTAAAATCGTTCCCTTCAATCTACTCGTCAACGATGGCCGGAGTGAACTCGCTGGACGGGGTGAAGATGAAGATCAAGACGCTGCAGCAGCAGGCGGACGCGGCGGAGAGCCGCGCGGCCGAGCTGGAGCGCGCCGTGCGGGCCGAGGAGTCGGTGCGAGCGCAGGTGAGGCGATGGCGGGAGGGCGACTACGAGGAGGAGAGAGGCTCGCACAAAGTTATAGAAGCGATTCGAGGTGACTTACAGGGAAACTTAAGAGGAGACTTCCAGGGAAATAGAAGTGACGAGGGGGCGACACGCGGGCGACTCGAGGAGATGAGTTGGCGACTCGAGAATATTCTGGGAGAGAGACCGGAGGTGACTTGCAGGCAACTCGAAAATTGTTGAGAAGGAAATAGAAGCAACCAGAGGTGACTTACGTGCAACTACAGTAAGGAGAGGTGGCTTGAAGACAAACTATATGCAACTTAGAGGCGACTAGAATGTATGTAAGCGACTGACTATCGCCTACAGACAACTGTATTCACCTTCTACACAGCGCGAACGTGAACCGTGACGCGACCCGTGGTACATGTACAGCGACTTGTGTCCCTGCACTGCTGGCTGAGGGCCTCCCCATGCCGTGCGGGTCATAGCTGTTATGTGACCATACTTCACCACGCTGGGCAGTGCGGGTTGGTAAAAGGCGGGATGCCACTGGGTGCCTGGATGTAACTCCAATGTAAACCATTCCTGCATCCCAACTCTATCCCCGTCACCGTATCTCCCACAGTTAGGGTCTCATTTAACTCACCCACACTCGCTCTTCGTTGAGTACAGCTCAAAATGGAACCGTAGCACTCACATATTAACAGCCAGCCAGATATATTACCCTGCTCCTAACCTTACCCCTTAACCTAAATATATCCTTGACCCACTCGTCCTAATTCATTTCCTTCAAATATAGCCCCAAGGCAGTCACAGTATCAGCCCCGGTTATACATCTCACACGGAGTTGAGCTGATTTAGTTGTAAAGTACTGCCTCTGGCAACCCGCACTGACCAGCGTGGGGAAGTATGGTCAAACAACCGCCATGACCATGCCGCATGCCTGCGTGCACAATGTGTTTGTGTGTATACTGTATATGCATCTCAATTTTGAAAGACCATATCGTTTTCATTAAAGAGATGTATCTCAATGGGCGCTCGCGCGGATATATAAGTGCAAGTTTTTGCCTCTCCAACAATAATTTTTGATTCAATATCTTGAATCTCTGTCGTGCACTGCATTGGTTGCGGTTGAAGTTTGATTTGTGCCGAGAGTGTTGGTGTCATTGTGCCATCATCTCAAGCCTCCACGGAGGGCAGATAGCAAGCAGCTGTCAGATGTTGAGTGCCATAAATGTTGAATTGAAAGTTGTACTGTCTGTATGTTTTACTTCTTTCGCATCGTCCGTAGCCAACGGTGCTAATAAATCCATGGACGAGGGCCCTCCCCACGCCCTGCGGGGGTCATTCGTTGATTTGGGCATATCTTAGCACCCTGGCTCGGTGCGGGTTTGGTGAAGGCGGGGAGCATAGATTCTCAGTACAACAATGGATGTTGTTCCACTGCCATTTTCGACACAATGTAGCACCACATCAGCCTGTAACAGCCTCTGTGTGGGAGTTTAACAGCGGCGTTATAGTCATCCCCGAAAGAAAACGGAGTCATTACACAGGGTAATAAAATGTAATCATTTACAGCTTTTTTGTCAGTCCACTGCTAGATGAGTGCCTCCACATGCCGTGAGGATGGGGAGGGGGGGACTTGATTGACAAAGTCTTTACCAAGCCACGAAGCATGATATTTGCATAAAATGCCACCTACATGTAAATATTTTTACTTTTAAAGCTACACTTTGTTTAATTGGAGCGCATGGATGCTTTGACTTCATGCCGACCGGGGTGGTGAAGGCGGTGAGGGTATAATTGTAGAGTTATAAAAACATGAAGTGTGGAGGGAGGAGGAGTCGTGTGGACTCGGGGTCTGCTAGCTCAGACAGTGTGTGCACCGCAGAAATGTGTGGAATGCGCGTGTCATGCAAGGTGTGGCAGCCGGACCAGCAGCAGCCTCTCACTGTCTTAAGCCTCCCCCACCACCAACAGCCCCGCTGCAAAAAAAGACAAAGATCTTTTAGCCTTCACGTACTTTTGGGGAAAATGTTGTTAGCGAGTAGCACCTATGAAGAAGGTACGTTAAACGGGCGGTGGTCGGTGGCCAGCACTATCTCCGGCCGCCTTTATATCCCCAGTGGCAATGTATAATACACCGCACTAGTTACTCATTTGAGGAGGAAAAATCTAGGAGATGCCCAGGACCGGTTCAGATAATCGTCCCTTGGTGTTGGTGGCCGTGAGTGGGAATCGAACTCGGATCGCCGGGTTCATTGCGCGGTACGCTAACCACTACACTTCGGCTCTCCACTGCACTCGCACACATGCACAACACTTGTTGGAGGAATCATGAGGAAGAAATTCGTGTTAGAAACCTTGAGAAAGTAGAAGAAAGGCGCCCATGAATAGAAAGCACGTTGGTTGTTTCTGCACCCAGGGCTCCCATGCACCACGCCCTTCCTCTTCTCAAGGCTCCTCGCTCTGGGTGACTCACGTCCTGTGGGGGGAAGCGGTAGTCTAGTGGCGAATGCACTGCGCTATGAACCTTGCAACCCCGTTTCGATTACCACTCACAGCCAACACCAGTGACGATTATTTGAACCGGTCTTGGGCATCCCCTAGGTCGACTCAGCCTCAAGTTAGTACCTGGTGTGGTGTGTAATGATTGCCACTACGGAGATAAAGGCGGTCGGGCGTGGTGTTGGCCACCCACCCCTCGTATGCAGTGCCGGCCTTCATAGGTTCTCGCTAACAGCTCTTGCCCCAAAAGTTTGTTAAGGCTACACGAGGAATATTTGTCTTTGGACTCACGTCCTGTGCTGTGGCCGGAAGTTTCTCGGCTTGCGATGGCGGCCACGGCGTCAGTGAGTCGTGCAGACGTGCGTGGGTGTGGGTGTGTGTGCAGATTGTGTGTGCGTGCGGCTGGGGCATGTAGCCCGTATACCCAGCCACGGCATGCCCAAGCAGCTTCTGTACGACTGGATAGATGGGGCGAAACGGGCGCCGCACGGGCTAGAGAAGAGACGGACTGATGCGGTACAGGAGGATATGGAGCTGAGTGGGCTTTCCTGTTTGTGCGACCGGCCTCTATGAAGGAGGTTCGTGAAGGATGCTACTGGGCACTTGGAGGCAGTCGCCCCCCAAAATCAGCGGAGGGCAGATGAACTACGCTCATAACAACAAGGGTAGTTGCGGGTGGCAAAACACAGCAAGTTGGCACAGTAGGGGGCACAGGTGGTGCATCTGCCAGTCATCTAGTCAGTCAACCCCTGGCACCTGGGTCTGTCCTGTGACCTGGCAGGGAGCCTTTGACACTTCATGTGGCCTCAAAGTGCACATAGCCTGGCACAAGCGCTGTGGTGTTGCAACCACCACTTCGTGGTAAACACCAGTTGTATGAAGATGTTTCTGTGTAATTGTCTAAAAGATGTGCAAGCATGTCTGATTGTTTTTATGAGAAGATGTGTGATAGTGTAGCAGTTGGCATGCTTCGCTACGAACCTAGTGACCCGAGTTCGATTTCCGCTCATGGTCAACACTAGGGACCAATATCTAAACCGGTCCTGGGCCTCCCCTAGGTTATCTCAACCTCATGTGTACCCAGTGCAGTGTGTAAACGTCGCCGCTAGGGAGACAAAGGTGGCTAAGTGTGGTGCTGCCCACTCACCCCCGCGTGTGCCTTGCTGACCTTCATAGGGGCTTTGTTGACAGCACTTGCCCCAACCGTTTGTTAAAGGCTATACGGGGGATCTTTGTCTTTATACTTTTGTACAAATGTGTGTGATTGAAAAGTGTCTGAAATTGGTTCTAAGTTTGTACGTGAATAAGTATTTTTCTCTATCCTTGAGAGAACTCAGAGACTAGGGTGAGTCTAATTTGATAGTGACCTGGGTCTCCACAATGGCAAACTCATAAAAAAATACAATGAAGCAAATACAAAACAGAACAAAACAGCTGTCGCATTAGAAATCTAAAATATTGCACAAACTTAAATCATTGTTAAATAATCAATTATCTGTCGTGCAAGCTGGCTTGTGCAGATGGATTTTAGACTTTGCAGGACAATTACAATTAAGTTACAGAAACATTAAAGAGATAGAGGGCTGACTGTTGTCGTAATATGTAAATGGACACGAATGTACGAGTCGAATCCAATTGCTGGTGAAGTTTTAAAGAATTGACAGTTGCATGTCAAAGTGATTTTGATGGGAGCGCAACAAAGGACATGTTTAAAGTTAAGGCATTCCCAGTGTTTGTGACATTCATAGAGTATGAGTGGAAACCATGCAAACCATTTTCCTTGGAACAGTGTGCTTTCGTCTTGTGGGGCTTTTTAGCTTTAAAGTATGATGGCCCTGAATGTAAGGGGCTGTGTTATGCGAGTTTTGTGTATATCTATTAGAGATGTAGGTTTGAAGATTGTGTGTCTGAAAGCATCTATACGTTTACATACAGGCATGTATGTGTCTTAAGTGTGACTGAAAGTGTGTTTTTGTGAGTGAGTGTCCATGTGGGGAGCGGTAGCGTAGTGGGTAGCACTGTGCTATGCACCCGGTGACCCGAGTTAAATTCTCACTCAAAACCAATAACAGCTGCGAATATACGAACCGGTCCTGGGCCTCCTCCAGGGTGGCTCAGCCTTAAATGTTTAATCCATCGGGCACTGGGGACGCGAAGGCTGGGCATGGTGATGTCCACCCACCCGTCATGTGTCGTCCTGGCTATAATAGGTGCTCGTTAAAAATCTGTCACTTTCCCATACATTCTGTCACTTTCACATTCAGTCTGTTCGGCTATATGGGGAATGGGGGGGTGTCTTTGTCTCGTGTGTGTATTCTTTCTCTTGCCCTGACCTTGGTGAGCATTGCCATCAATACAACAGCTGCTGTTGGCTGTGGACAGCTTCAGCGGATGCCCTCGTATCACTCATCTGTTTACTCCCTGTAAGCCAATGTTTGACCAGGATGGTGAAGAATGGTCAAACCTACCCTCATAATCAGCATTGCATGGGGATGTCTTCATCCAGGCGTGAATTGCTACAGGGCTGTGCATTAAATTACCTCTGGATTTGTATTGGACACCCGATTTCCAGACTGCTGCCCTATATACTGTGCTGTCAGGCTTAATTTTAATGAATTTCTGTTCAGCACTAAAACCACAATGACTTTGTTCATAATTGATGTTCAGCATGCTCAAAGATTTGTATACCACGTGACAGTTCAATTTGTTTGGCTGTATTAAGTGGTGGAGGACCTTTACGACACATCTTGTCAGATCATTACGTAGCATAACCCGACAAATTCATTACAAATCGTAACATTGACAGTGAAAACTTACACGCATTAGTTAACAATGACTCGTTTTCGACGTTGCCTCCTTTAACTGGCTGATTTGACTTGCCGGCATGTTCTGTTTATTCAGAATTGGAAAGTATTGCTATTGTTTCCCCTGGAGAATGCCTTCTAGTGCTTTGTCAGTTGTGTAACCATTTGCCCATAGAACCACTGCTTTGTTTTAAATTCTCAGTTCTGCTGCACTGTTTCATTAAGTCTTAAAGCTGGCCCCATTAGAAACAAGACTAATTTTCAGCTCTCTGTGAATTAACTGCTGGATGAAGGTTTCTCCACGATGTTGACATATACCATTGTTTATTTACATGTTGGTGCTGTTGTTGCCCTATAATTGTTCAAATAGTAGATTTTTTTGTAATTTTGAAGGTAAATCTGCCTGAGACGATTAGCCACTGCAGGGAATTTAATATTTAACTTTGCTCTAATGTATGATTTATGTTTGCAATAATTTTGAATCTCGTGTGATAACAGTTGTTTTTGTTATTTCTATTTACTTAATTATTGTAATTTTACTAATATTTGCTCACACTTGAAAGTTAGGCTTATCCTAGTCTATTGAGTTCACCTGCTTAAACAAAACGGACTTTAAACTTAACCTATGCTTCATCACCTTTGTGAGTGTGGGTTGATAAAGGCCAGGTAGCTTTAGCCCAGTTCAGATATCACCACTAATACTGATGTTAGCCTAGGCCTGGAATCAAACTCGGGTGGCCGGTTTTGTCGTGCAGTGTGCTAACTTCCCAGTAAGGAATTACTTCATCCTAAATACAATTTCCAGTGATATTACAATTGTGTTGCAGTAATTCTCATCGCATATTGTAACCCAATTTGGAGAGTCTTAATATTTATTATGGTTGTGGTACAACGGCTAATGCAGTGTTTATTTAAAGCCGTCAAAGAGGAGCGCATTGTTTCAAGAGTCTCATTTATTATTAGCATCATGTACTGCGGCTCTCCGTGATAGGACATTTATGGTCATAACCCGACGGTAATCTGCATTTTGTCATTTGACCTGGCGAAAGCTCTTCACCACCATCTCAGCCAAGTTAACTCATAGGTTTTTGCAGTCAATGTTATGTTCCATAATATAGATTTGGGTGAGGCCTCGCTATGATCAAACCAGATCTGAAAACAAAAATGAGGCGGTGTTATGGGTGAAGGTTTTTAGTTTTCGTAAAAACAACTCGGAAGATGTGACCACTAGGATCAATAATTCGATTGGGGAGCTTAGCGGATTAGAGTACTTGATTTTGACTTGTAAATTACAAGGGTTGGATTGTTCAAATTCCATCCCTGCAGAGTGGCGACGTCACCAGAAATTGCGGTCCAAGTGGGTCTAGAAAAACCTATGAAGTCATTCAAAGACACATAAGTCACGATACATATGGGTATGTATACAGTATACTTCTATACCAATTAGTATATTGAATTGTGCATAGAGAAGTTAATAAAGAATTAAAGCTTTCGTGACTGCATAAATTACTCATTGTTTTTTTCGGTAAAGTCACGTATGTAGAAATACAATAAAATTTTATTTTAATATAATAATTATAACCGGTTTATAGAACTAAGATGGCAACATTTAATATAATGAAACGAATGGGACCGAACAAACGAGACAGATTATAAAAACGAGATGAAACAAAACAGTCGGTTCTTGATTCACTTAATGACCTGAGTCGTGGCGGTTCATCGGTTCGTGGGCGGTGACACGACCCAGTGAGAGGGCATTCACTGCTTGTCGCAGAGGTTTGCAGTTCGAATCCGACAGGCTGCCCCAATTAATCATGCGGCTGCATTCGTCATGAAATACTATGCGCTGTCTGTTTTACAAAGAATCAGAATCTTTATTTAAACTGGAGGAGGAATCTGATGAGCTATGAAGTTCTTTTTCACATGTCCAGTAGGGGTGGGGTCAGCATGTTACAACAACAAACAATACAAAACGATAAGAGTGCAAAGTAGAGAAAAGGTACGCAAGTTATTAACAATAAATAAATAAACATATAAAGTGTATTAGCACATTGCATAAGTACATACATACCTATTCTTGGTTCTTTCAGTAAAGTCATGTAGAAGGGAAACAATAAAATAATCAAAATATAAAACATAAATAAAAAAAGTATAAAGATTATTATTTTATTGTTTCCCTTCTACGTGACTTTACCGAAAGAACCAAGAATATGAATCCCTGCAGTCACGAAAGCTTGCAATAAAAATTTACAGACATACCTGCTGATTTTTCAACACTAAATGCAAGCTTGGGCAAGGCAGCAAAACAACAGCAAAAGTCCCAAACCACATCAAGACAACCTGCAGTTCCACAATTAAATTTAATTAAAAAGGATACACGGCTAAGGATTAAAGTTACAAATCACATTTGCAAATGTGGTTGTATCCAGTCCTAATCTTCTGCTTTGGGATATTTTTGAAGGAAGATTTACAATGTTAAGGGAGGAAACAAGGTTGTTCCAAAAGTTGCTGCTGCAATGGCAAAGGCTTTGTCACCAATTCCAATTCTTGGGATAGCTAAAAGGCAATTAGATGGACGTATCTCATCGCTTTTTAACGTCCACTCACAGCAGGACCCTCTGGAAAAAGTCTTGAGACTCAGCGAGACTCTCCTGGGTGAACAAGTGTAATAACAGAAATGAATAAAGTTGATATTGTAGGCAGGGTAAATCGTTAGATTGTCATTTATCACCAGTCGCTATTGTGGTTGTGCAAGCACGGTGGCCCACATTCTCAACATACGGCTGATTAATTATGGAATAAATTCAACCCCCGAGGGCGAAGAAAGTTGCCATAGGCCAGATATGTCAAGCATAATATAATCACTTCACATGTAGCCAGTGATTTTTAAAGAGCTTGGGTGAACACATGTGGAGGCGTTGTATTAGAGCTGGGCTATAATCCGATTACTTTATTGAGGGATTCCTCCACTGATTACCAGGTTGATCGATCAAATAATCCGAAAGGTGATGATAGTTGGGGAGAGGAGTAAAAAAAGTGTTCCTTTTGTCCCTGCAAGTGCAGCTGGATGTAAAGTGATGGATGGGGTTTGGTGACATCACCAGCTTCATCATTGGCCATGTCACGCTTGTCACTGCTTATAGGCGGGTTTTCTGTCTTAAGGATGCCGAAGTAATCAGCAACGAAGTGGACAATTACAATTTTTAAATCCACGATTAGGCCCAGTTCTGATGAAAATTTAGGTAATGCTTTGTAAGTGGTGAGCGTACACGTGCAGGCATTGTATTGAATGGATTCATATGTTTTTTGATTGGTAAATATATTTTTTGGGTTGGGCGAACCCAGTGTGCGGCCTAACTCAAACATCAATTTGTACGTGTGTTTAGCGATGGAAGGAAATGGGAGAACCCGGAGGAAACTCATGCAGCACAGGGTGGAGAGAACATAGACTCCACACGAACAGGCATCTGAGTTGGGAATCGAACCCGGGGCCTTGCTGCACTGCCTCCACCCTGCCTCTGCTGACTCCGAGGTTTTGCTAACCCGCGAGTGAAATGTTCCCCCTGCCCCGGCAGGCGGAGGCGAAGGCGGCGCAGCTGCGCGACATGATTGCGGAAAAGGAGGAGAAGCTGGACACCACGCTGGAGCAGCTCAACAGCGCGCTGCGGCGTCTTGAAGAGGCCGAGAAGGTGGCGGACGAAAGCAAGCGGTGAGTGCTGACTACTGCAGTACTTCTTTGGTTCTTTCGGTAAAGTCACGTAGAATGAGAATAAAATAATAAATTGATAAAATAAAATAACACAATAATATTCTCACGACGTTTCGGCCACAACACAAGCGGCCTTCATCAGGTGAAGGGGACGAGACTGTCTGGAGGACAGCGCTGATGCAGTATGGACTCGTACTACCCTCCGCTGACTTACATAGAGCTGACTCGTACTACCCTTGACTGACTTGCACAGAACTGACTAATACAGTACTGATTTACACTTCAATGACTTATGCAGACATGACTTAGACGGCATTAATTTAACACGTAATATGTCACAGCCAGAGTAATTCATAATTATTTTTGGGTTAGGCCATGTAATGATCCGACCAAATTTGTGCCATTAAGACCCCTTCACCACCGAACATGGTCAAACAAATGAAATTGTCATATGCACAAGCTTTTAACAACGTGCCAATTATTATTCCTTGCCCCGTGTATCGATAGTTACATTTTAATGTGCAATTTTAATGAGGGACTGTGTAAACCTTCCCGTTTGTCAGGGTTGTTCCATTGGGGGATTTTCCAGGTAAATGATTTTGATTGCGTTTTCTTCATTCACAAATCTGCGATTTACTTAGCTAATTCATCAACCTCATTGTCAAACGAAAGAAACATAAGACGTTCATCTAATTGCCTTTTAACTATACCGAAAGCAAGAATTTGAATAGGTGACAAAGCCTTTGCCGTTGCAGAACCAGTGTTTTGGAACAACCTTGTTTCTTCCCTTAACATTGTAAATCTTCCTTCAAAAATGTCCTGAAGCTGATCATTGCTGGATACAACCATATTTGCGAATGTGATTTGTAACATTGATCCTTACCTGTGTAGCGATAGTTACATTTTAATGGGCAATTTTATTGAGGGACTGTGTCTGGGTGTGGTCTGAGACCGTGTTATTCTTTTGCTGCCTTGCCTAAGTTTGCATTTAGTGTTGAAAAATTGGCTAGAATTTATGTACGTATGTAATTTTTACAAATATACTTTTTTTACACGCTTTTTATTAACTCACTGTTGTTGTATCCTCAAATCTTCTAACTAAATATTTACCCACTTCCCAATGTGGTATCGACTGCAAACTTGGTAAACTTATGTCATATTGATGACAATACTATATTCTATCATAAAAAAAAAACATTTTAAAACATAATTTTTTATATGTTGTGTTTTGGCTTGGCTCTAATTGTCCACGCTCAACTGACGTTGGCTGTAATTGGCCACGGTCCCCCTTACGTCGTGGCAAGCTTCGGGGCCACTTCCTGGAGTCGTGGAGTTCTTCCATTGCTAGTACGGTACATTTCATTAAAGCGTGTTAACATTTTTTTTATTTTACTTGATATATATTGTTAGTGACTTGCTTACCTTTTTCTCTATTTGGTGCGCATATCGTTTTTTGTAATGCCCCGACTGGACATCTGCAAAAACAACTTCATAGCTCATTGGATTCCACCTGCAGTCTAAATAAAGATTCGGATTCTGATTGTCTCTGCTCGCCCATCGCTTCAGTTGAAGAACAATCCTCACAACCGCGTTTCGCATTGATCGTTACGTGTCGAGCAAAACTGCAGGAATGATCAATGCTGCGGGATACACGAGCTCCCCCGTCTCTTGCTCTCTCAGAGCCACTCCATGCCGGCACTAACGTGGGGCACATCGCCACCTTGTCGTTGTCGCACAGACAAAGATCCCTCGTATAGCCTTCACAGACTGTTGGGGCAAGTGCTGTTAGTGAGCACCTATGAAGGCCGGCACGGCACGAGGGGGTGGGTGGCCAGCACCACGCCTGGCTGCCTTTGTCTTTCCAGTGCCATGTTTACACACTGCACCAGGTACTAATTTGAGGCGGAGTCGCCCGAAGGGAGGCCCAGGACCGGTTCAAGATGAACGTCCACTGGTGTTGGTGACCGTAAGCGGGAATCGAAACCCGGGTGGGCGGGGTCTGCAGTGCAGCGAGCTAACCGTTGCTCTGCCGCTCGTTACCACTCGTGTGCAGGGGCACGCGTGTCATCGAGTCGCGCGCTGTCAAGGAGCTGCAGCGTCTGGGGCGCCAAGAGGACCAGCTGCGCGAGGCCAAGATGATCGCGGAGAACGCTGACCGCAAGTTTGAGGAGGTGCGCGATAGAGCTGGGGAGTAAAAAACAAACGACTTCACCATACCCGCACTGACCAACTTGATCAAGTATCTTTTTATTTATTATGACTTTTTATTTTACCAGGTAAAGCCCACTGACCTATTAGCTCTTTTTCGGAAGCAACTTTGCCACAAGTGATAGCTCAAGTGGCTTATGTGTAAATTTATAGAAGCAGCCAAATAATCTTAACCCGTGTGTCTAAATGTGGAGGGAAAAACCAAAGGACCCAGAGAAAAATCTATGCAACCATGGGGAGGACATGCAAACTCTAAATAGACAGGCATCGTCAAGGTCGGGATCCAACTCAGGACCTCCTGCATACCAGGCGAAGGTGATAACATCTCGCCACTGCGGAACCCTGAGTGGTGATGTCATCAGAGAATGCGGTTCAAGTGGGTTTAGAAAAACTTACTACATCATTAAAAGAGGTGTGCGATAGAGCTGAGCTGTCCCATTATATTTATCTGTTGTATTATCATTATTATCGTTACCCGATTTTATCCAGGAAAGTCTCACTGAGACTCCCAAGACTTTTTCAGGAGGGTCCTGCTAAGCTTTAGTCGGATAATGACGTTTGCTTCGGTGTTTCCAAATTAAGTATTTTTATAATGACAAATTTAGACCATGACACCTTCCCACAAAACAGTCCGCTATTTGTCAAATAACATCACGGGATCTTTAACATCCACTGTGAAGCAGACTGTAATTTATGGTTAATATACAACTTGCTATTAACCAGGGTAGACTGCTAGATTCAAACTGCGAACCTCTGCAACAAACGGTGAACACGCTATCCCTCGGTGGTGCTGACGTCCTGCGGATTTTACCGATACACCCAAAGCACACATCGAGTTTCTCAAATGTGTGATACGAAGCCTCTGGTGTTGGCTAAACATTCCAATACAGGTATCCTTCGATTTACGAACGTTCGGTTTACGAAATTTTATGTTAAAGATTTGCACAATTACAGACACTTTTCCATTAATGAAATCTAATTTCCACATTGATTAAATTTCACATGGCACACGCCGTGGGATCAAACAAGAGCCACTCGAGATGCTGCGTCATCCATCCGCAACAGTGTCACGGTATTCTTACAGTACAACAGTAACGTCTCCACATCACCTTTAACAGTTATTCCAACATGCGGATCTTCTGTTGCGTTCCCTAAAAAGGTTAATTATAACGATCCACTGCAACGTAGCGGATACATTGTACTGGACATGCACTAATGAAACAGGCTTAGACGTGGCAAAAAAATATTTTCTTTTAATTCTACAGGGCACTAGCTAACTGCAGTGAAGCGCCAGCTGAGATATTCATTTATCAGTTTTGGGGAACGATTTTACTCAACTCCCGTTCTTCAGGGTTTGCCGGACACACCTTTAAGAAGGGGAGTTGAATCAAATGTATTTATGAAATTGATATTGCTGTTTGGCACGTGAAGATCTGGGCTGACAGTTCACTGCAGGTTAGCGTGCCGTAGCTTTTGAAAACATGGACGTGCGAGGTGTTTTTATTTTCACAAGCCGCATGTCAGGAGATAAGACCGCGTCTCTGCCAAAGGCTGGTGGGGAAGCACCACTCGTGTCGTGTGACGGATGATGAGAGTCGCCTTTGTGTGAGCATTTGTGCGTTTCACCTTCAGACAACAGACACAATCTGTGTCAATGTTGATGGGGTGTCTCTGTCAGCAGTAATTATGTGGCCATGCTCCACCACACTATTTCTGTCTCTCAAGCTGCATGCCCTTTTGGTCCTCTGTCGTTGGTCATGTGAGACAACTCGAGGCTCCAGCTTAAACTCTGTGGTGTGGAGGAGACAAAGGATCTGATTCAATTGGACATTTTATCTCCCCCCCCCTATCTGGGTTTCCGTGGGAGACAGGCGGTCGGGCGTTCCGCCAGCCGCAGCAGCACCACCTGACGGCAAGCCCTTTGCCATCAGTATGTTCGAGTTATAGGGGGGAAGTCTTTGTGTTTACCGTTGTGTGTGTGTGTGTGATCCACACAGGCAACTAACAAGTTTGTCCACCTGGAGAGTGAAATGGATAAGTTGGACGATCATGCCAAGCATTCAGAATTGTAAGTTACAATTCATCCTCACTGGATTTTATTCTGACTTCTCTGATCTTGTTCTGAAGCTGTTTGGAGCAGTTTCAGGTGGCGGAGGGATCTTAACAGTGCCTCCTTGTTATTATTCTTAGCTCTTTCGGTAAAGTCACGTTGAAGGGAAACAATAAAATATTAAAATATATATAAAAAATAAAAAAAATTCTTACGACGTTTCGACCATAACACACACCATAACGGTCGTCATCGGTGATGACGATCGTTTGTGTTATGGTCGAAACGTCGTGAGCATTTTTATTGTTTTATATATATACTTTATTATTTTATTGTTTCCCTTCAACGTGACTTTACCGAAAGAGCTAAGAATATGAATTACTGCAGTCACGAAAGCTTTAAATCAAAATGTAGTGCCTCCTTGGTCAGATCATTACATGGCCTAACCCAAAAGTTAATTGTAATTCATAACATTAGCTGGAAAAACCTACGTGTCATTATAAGTCATGTCTACATGGCTGCCACTGCTTTGATTTTTTAAAATTCTGTGTAATTTGGTCAGAGGCTTGTCAGTATACTGTACATATATAGCGATGTATACAAAACACGTGTGTGTACGCGACACACTGCAGCCTGTGTTAGTGCTGGGAACTTGCGATTGCCTGCCGATTATCGCATGTTGGTGCCAAGTTGCAAAGTGTGTTCTGGTTAGAACCGGGCATGGCAATGGGGTGAGTGTTGCAGATTCCAAGCGTTAACAGAGTGATTTGGGAGATGGGGTTGAGTGCTAGGGTTCTGGTTATTGTGAGAAATAAGGGATGGTGCTTGGGTGGTAGAGTCTGGTGTTAGGTTATGGTTGTACGGTTGGTTTATTGTGTCGAGCTAGTGTTAGGATCTGGTCGACTGGTTAAGAAACGTAAGCAGGCTTGGACAGGGATACGTTGCTATAAGGGATGGATGGGACAGTGGTCACATAAAAATAGTGGCAACTCAGGAATGGAATTTCACTTTTGGCATTCACGGCGCTCGTGATGTATGCCTTGCCGAGAAGGCATTGTCTGCGCTCACCGTGAACCCTCAGTCGAGATCAGGGGTCCCCCACCGGCTGTCCGCAAGGCCGTGGTAAAGTGGTATGCGGAGCTATTGCAGATGCTTTTATGTTTAAAAAAAAATAATGCCAATTCTATCTTATTGTGCTCGTCACACAACGAGCAGCATCAGATAACCAATTAAAACAAGTCAATTAAACACTTTTGAAGAGTTTGCATGGCTTTTTAATAGACATTGGACAGAGATTTTGAATGTAGTTTTAATTTTGAAAAATATGTGAGTGGCGCAGGGGTCGTCTGCGAAAATATGTTGAAGGCTGATCATGGCCTGCCGATCCAGAAAGTTTGGGATCTCACTGGTTTGGTTAGTGGGCACTTAGCAGAGTTTGCCAGGGTGCTGTGACAACCGTGGTTATCATTGTTGCTTTTGGCTGATTATTATTAGTTGTTGATTTTTGCTGTCATTTCTATTTGCTGTATTGTCCTTTTTATGTTTTTGATTTTGTCACTTTGGTGACCCAAGTCAGTCACTTTTGCAAATGACTCATCCTTGTCTTTTGAGTCCTCACCTGGTTTAACAAAAAAAACACACACACAAACACCCCTGAACTAGTGCTGTGTAGCTAACGCACCGCTCGTTTCTTCTCAGCCGTGCCAAGCAGCTGGAGGAGGAGCTCAGATTAAAGTCTGCACAGCTACAGTCACTGAAGGCGGGCGAAAAGAAGGTGAGATTGGCCTCGGAGTAGCAGTTTGCACCTCTGCAAATTGCTTAAACCACGGGCTCCTTTGGGGCTAATGGGTATGTAATTCCTATTTTGCACTGCACAACCAAGCTGTGCCAGGGTTGCGCCGAACCAGCCAGAGCCACGAGCATACCGATGTTGCAAACAACGAATGCACCATTGTTCCCGTCTGGTGCTGCTTGGCCCCCGACCTAGATCGAGAGTTCTCGCGAGGATCTTGTTTCTGTTTCGGATCAGCACTGCAATCAGTCGGTGGAAAAAACATTCGTGATCATAAGGACCTTGCGCTGGCTCGGCTCTGATGTGCCAATGGAAAAGGGGTATAAGCTGTCATTAAAGTCAGTCTGTCTTGGAGTCTCACATTCACTCATAAGTGATTATGGTATCTAAAGGGCCCAATCCAAAGGCATCAGCCATTCATTTAGTTGCGGAAATTTGGCCAATAGCACGTTCATGATGAATCGCTTAGTTTGTAAATGTTTTGTCGTGGTGCACTGCTTACCATTGTAGTTCCGAATGTAAATTTCAGTTCTATGATATCGATAGCACATTCGGAATATCAGGGTTAAATGCAGAAGTTGTAAATGTTGAATTGTGTTTGCGTGAGCTACCAATTCTATGTTGTGTGATTTGTCTCTTTGGCCTCTTCCCCTGGTGTCTCCTGCTCTTCGTGACTGCCCTTGACCTGCTCTGGCCCCCTGCTCTACTTGGTGCTTCTCTTCACCCTCCTCTGCCTCCTCTTCCCTTCACTGCTTCTACACATGCACCCACGCACGCACCCACGTACCCATGCACGCACACACCCGGCACGTCATCACACTGCGTCGTGACGCTCAGGCGGACAAGTAAACCTTGCAGCCCCTTCGTGCCTGGTGCTATCGCTTATGCTGCCAAAAACGTGTCTAGCTTTCAGGGTTCATACCGGAGTGCTTCCACATCCGTGAAGATCGTAGCGAAATAGGAAAGTGGTCCATCTGCTTGGCCTTGCGTGAAAACAAAGCCAGTGATATCCAGAGCCATTGGTAGAAGTTCCTCGCTCCTATGGTGGGGGCGAGTCTCTCAATAGTTCAACCACTGTTGATATTCCCCGGATAGTTGGACTCATTTTACTGACCCCGGTGGGGGAGAGACGATTGGCCGAGTTGACCCCCACCGCAACCAGCATATTAATTTGTGACCTTCCGATAGCGAGCCGTTCGCTTTACCGCTGAGCTACCTGCCAATAAAAATAGTTACATTTAAATAGTTGATTTTTGGGTTAGGCCACAAATGACCTGGCTGATTTTTTAAATTAAACTTTGACCCAGATCTTCTCTAAAACTGCTTATTGTGACAAGAAGTAGCTCATTCGAAAATGCCTTTGTCTAATCATACAAATTACCCTGTCCTAGCCAGCCCGCTTGAGATAAACCTTTGCCCTTGCACAAAACAGGGAACTGTGAGCGCTGTTTTTTATGCCACTTCTGGGTATCGGTGGTGACTGTTCTGCCTTTTTTTCCGCTTGCGTCCGTTGCAACAGTGTCTAAAGGTGGGGGTGTGTGTGTGTGTTCAAAGTGCCTTCGGTGTTTGCCTGGTAGATGTAAGGCCACCCAAAGGTGTGTGAGGAGGGGGTACAAAAGGGGAAATTTGTTCCTGGCCGCACACAAAAGGGCCCCCAGAATAGGCCTGTATTTTGTTGCAAAGAATGAGAGCCCATGGAGACATTCAGTCCTGGGCCCCCAACCCTGGACCTCTGGGTGGCCCTGTGTAGATGTGCATTCTCAGAGTCATCGTAATTTGAGTCCATTGGAAGATACATTGTGTGAGTTTGTAACTGTTTGAAATATAATTAAAATGGAAATAAATACAGGATGGCGCAGTTATAGATGCCCCACTGATTTATAACGACTCTCTTGTTCATAAATGTGAGCAGATCAAATGGGTCATGTTGAAGAGAGTGCTTTCAGAGAGAAGTGTTACAAGATTTCATTAGTCTGTTGAGCTCAATTGGGGTTGCACATAGCGCAGCAATTATCACCCCTGCTTCCAGACTAATGCCCGCTTGCCGGTCAGGTGCTGATTTACCTTCAGCCACCCAGGAACAGCTGTCATGAGGAGGTCCGCTATGCTGAAAGTATAAATGAAATTTTGTCTCTGGACATGCTGATGACTCATGAGCACTATATAACATCAGTATTGTATTTTTTTATCATTGATGGGGGGGGGGTGGGCTCATAGAGGCTTTGAAATAAAATGTATATCACACTATTAACTAATTTCAAATTATTTGTTACGTATCTGTAAATAGATCACCCTGTGTATTAAAATAAAAACGGTCATCAGCCCATAAAATGTTTTATCGATGGTGAAAAAAAAAATCCACGGCATTGCCATGCAAAATCAAAATGGTACTCAAAGTATATCGAATTTCTCAACGGATTTTTTCCAGGATGAATAAAGCCTCTGATCCTGATCTGATATGATTCCAGCACTGAGCACACAATAAAACGACAACAATACGAAGCTCGCTTGGACAACAGTTTCATGTGGCCTGATAGAGAAGTGTAATTGTGGGATTGGTCACCCCCCCTCCCCTTCCTGTTAAGTTTCCAATCAGAATCTTTATCCTAGAGGAATCCTGGTGGATGAGCGATAAAGCTCTTTTTCTCAGATGGCAGGTAGAAGCGGGTCGACAATTTACAACAAACAATACAAAAACACTATAGGAGTGCAAAGTAGAGAAAAGGTATTCAAGTAACTTTAAAGAAATAAAAGAAATAAACAAGGCAGTAAAACAACACAAACAGTCCCAGACCACACCACAACAACACAGTCCCTCAATAAAATTGGCAAATATGGTTGTATCCAGCACTAATCTGCTGCAAGATATTTTTGAAGGAATATTTACGATGTTAAGGGAGAAAACAAGGTTGTTCCAAAACGTTGGTGCTGCAACGACAAAGGCTTTGTTACTTATTCCAATTCTTGTTCTCGGAATAGTTAAAAAGCAATTAGATTGACGTCTTATGTTTATTGGGGTTTACAATGGGCTTGATGAATTAGCGAAGTTTAGCGCAAATTTGCCAAAAAGCAAAGCGCTATAAAAATATTTCACCTGGAAAAATCCCTCTACATCGACCCTGGGAAACGGGATGGATAATCTCATTTGCACGGAGATTTGTACACAGCAACTATGGAATGACTCGTACACACTCACATTTAAATATTTAATTCAGAAATGTTTCCAAATGAAATGTTAACATAATGAATGCAGTTTGCAGCAGTGGTGGGGCAGCACATGTTCGTTTCCCGGGCAAGGTTAACATCAGTGACAAGTCCTGTTGGGGAGGGTGGCCTTTACTAACCTGTACTGAATTGTATGGTGAAGTATGGTCAAACGATCCCCCCCCCCCCGTGGAGAGGACTTTACCCAGCAGTGGATTGACACAGGCCCCCGAGTTATTATTTAGATTACTAAGTGCTGAGTGATTAAGAAATTAAATGACAGGCCCAAAACCTCAAGCATTCAGCAACAAACAGCACTATCAGTGTTCAATTATGCAAGGTTATATAATAAGAGCTTGGGGTAGGAAACAATGGGAAGGGATTCATTTCAACTCAGTTTAAACTCGTTGGGCTGTCAGTGTTCCCATATACAAACAACATATTGCCTGTGTGTATACACACGTACGGGTCGACTCAGTCTCAAATGAGTACCTCGTGCGGTGTGTAAACATTGCCACTGTGGAGACAAAGGCGGCCGGCATGGTGCTGGCCACCCACCACCTCGTGTGCTGTTACGGCCTTCATAGGTACTCGCTAACATCACTTGCCCCAACAGCCCGTTAAGGCTATATGGGGGTCCTTTGTCTTTGAAAACATACGCATGCACGCCCCTAACGTGTTGCACAGAATACATGGAAAATACAATGTTTTGCCATAAATTCAAGAAATGTAACTGCTTATTTTTGCAATGTTGCGTTTTCTCCGCACCTTGAGTGTGCGAGTGATGGTTTGTGGTAAATGTCGGCATGTTTTGCAAACTGCTGTTGAATAAACAGATCATTTTAAGTAGAAGCATCATCGGTATTATTGTGAAGTCGGTTGGCTTTTGTGCTTACGTAGCCAGGGCAGCAGTGCAGTGGTAACACTCAGGCCTCCCAGCAAGGACCTGGATTCGATTCCCGACTCGGGTGCCTTTCTGTGTGGAGTTTGTATGATCCCCCCCTGTTCTGCATGGATTTCCTCTGGGTTCTCTGGTTGCTTCCCATAGCTAAAAACACATTTAATTTCATTGGCTAAAATTTCATTGCAGTAAGACCCTCGTGAAAAAGCATAATCGAACTTGGTGTGGCTTTCCTGAGTAAATTTGTAATTTTTGTGATTGTTATTACAGTACAGTAACACCCCGCTTTACACCCTCCTGCTTTACGTACTTTGTCTATAACGTACTGAACTTATTCATACCCAATCCCGTTTTACGTACTGTGTTCCTTGCCATGACGTACTCGAGATTTATTAACTTAACCATTCAGTCCAAATTTTTTTTACGGTCGATGGCGAATAATCAGGCGCCAGATATCATGAAGCATCCGAGCGTTAGCGTCCCTGACTTGCTATCGTCCTTTCATGTGTATTCTATTCCTATTTTTCCCCCACATATCGTATTTATGGCAACTATTTTTGATACAACTGTAAACTATTTTTTTATATGATAAACAATAATACATATCGTACAATAGACAATGTAATGTATCTTAATATGTCAATAATATTCACTCTTCACACTGATGGTTGTACAGTATAGATGCGCAATGGATTACTTAGTATCCTCTGTGTAGGTACTGTACCACATTACGATCCACCATCCCATCTCGATTTACGTTCTGGTTTTCAGGAACGTTTCCTGTGCATAAACCGGGGTATGCCTGTACTTGGTTGTATGCAAGGTGTTGGTGGGAGCATTATCGTCATGAAATCATGAGAACTTCGTCCTTGGTGACAAGGAGGACATTGTGTCCTGGCATTCAAATGACCTTAAACACATGAGAAATTGTTTCCTACGTGCTTATGGACGTGCTTGAGATGTCGCAGTGCCAAAGCAGGACACACGAACGCTGGCACCATTGCCATAATACTCAACAATAGCAGCGTAGTTATTTTTTCCTCTGTAATATTTTCCAAAGTCACCGCACACAATGGCGGTTGTATTGCCACTCGCACCGCCAACTGTAATGCCACACGCATGTACCAACTGACCAGCTAACCTAACTGCAGAGGAGACACTGAATGTCGAAACCGGTCCAGAGTTTTGTTTATTTTTGAACCAGCGTTGCTGCTTAGGTGCACTCCCAGAAGGCCGTGTGGCTGATGGAATGTGTACAATATTTTTTCAATCTATGAGGGGGAGGCGAATTGTCTGCTTATCTGTTTTGTTAACCATGACATGGGCACCTATCTGTCGTTTTAACTCACAAAATGATCCATTTATAGATAGCCCACCCATTAATATATAATAGGATTTAATTCCAGAGAAAAAAGTTTGTATTTCAAAGCATGAACACGTCTCCCACCAATCTCACATTAAATGTGTTAAATATCTAATCTGAAAGATACGGAGCCATCGCTTGTACGATATTCAATCTCATCATGGGACCTCCTTTGCCAGTACCAAAATATGATATTAGGTTTTTCTGCTTTTTTCCTCTGATAATATATGCATTGTCCTTGAAACTGATTGTAAAGCTGTCTCTGGTGTGGACCAATCAGTTTCAAAGACAATGCATATATTATGAGAGTGTTTTTTGTTTGCATTCTGAACACAAGCATTGTGGTTAATGCAGACATGATTCCTTGTAAAAAAAATTCAATTTGGTGTTTTAACATCTTAACACCTGTTTTGTTGCCAGAAAAAAGGGGAAAAACCTATTATTCAATCTCATGTTGAGAAGAAAGAGGGTCGTTAGCAATAAGTGGGGTGTCAATAAATGGATCACCTCAATTCTGGATGTCCATTGGATGGCAACCAAAAGAGGTTCTGTTTGTGAGTAATTTGGCCATTCAATTGCTCTGGCTGAAAGTTGGTGAAATGCAGACACTCACCCACTCAGTCCCTCACTAAGTCTCTCAACAACCCACTATCTTCAGATTAAATTTGGCGTAATGCGATGTTACATAGTCCATGGTTTGGTGTTGGTGGCTGCCGTCGCACGCAGGAAGAGAGTAACATTTTTTTTCCCCCACTTGTGCATTGGGTGTCTCTACACCTGTGGTTCATGCGGATCCGGTCAAGTGCCATGGTCTAAGCGAGCTCCGACTTGATGCATTTGTCAACAACACCGTGGCTATAAAAGCAAATCAAATGATATAGATGTTAACTTCCTCCCCTGGTATGCAGGAAGTCGTGGCTTCGAACCTGACCCTGATGCCTGTTATGTTTGGAGTTTGCATGTTCTCCCTGTGGTCGAGTGGATTTTTCTCCAGGTGGTGACACTCCGGTTCTCTCCACATTTAGAAATGCATTTAGAGTATTTGGCTGCTATTAATTTCCACGTAAGAAACTTCGTTGAGCAATCGTTTGTGACCAGGTCGCTTCTGAAAAAGAGCTATTTAGCTCAATGGGCTTTACTTGGTAAAATAAAATATAGTTTTTTTGTTTTTATAGCATGTGACAAATACCGTATGTTGTAGTTTTTTTTCTCACTTGGGTTTATGCGCCACTACTAACATGGAATCGCCAACAATATTATTACATAAACTCTGGCCGAATTGACCAAATAGAATATAAAAATGCGCTTTGAAAAGCTCTGTTGAGCCTGTTTGTTAGTAAAGTGTGTCCGGTTAGAGCATCCAAACCATTAATGCAAAACCAGTTGAGAACTTCACGGAGTGAAGCGCGGTCCAGCCCGGCCGGATCGCATGATGGCGACTCAATGAGCACCCTGTGTGGCTGTGGTGCCGCCTGTGTTGTGCTTATGAGACTCGGCATTGAAAAGGGAAAGAATTCTCCGATTGTCCGTGGACATTTAAACGTGTAACCACGTTCGTGTTCTTAGCAAAGGTCTCAGTTTTGGTGACATCACGTACAAAATTCTAAACTTGCGAGGAACGTCTGATTACGGGATTTTATAATCGTTACCATGTGTGCCTTGCTGTGTGCGGACCTACGTCAGTTATTTTTGTGTGTTTTGATAAGTTCTTGATTTTCTGCTGTGTAGTATCAATTATAAAGTCAAAGTAATTTCTTGCTTAAATGAGCCTCGAAGCATTGGTGCTCATCTCCAGTTTACAGTCCTGCAGAATCAGTGGTGAAAATTCCACATTCCCATGGTGGGGGCGAGTGTCCATCGAACTACCACTGTTGACTTCCACTTAGTGGTACCCATTTAATTGACTCTGGAGGGAGGAATGATGGGCTGAGTCAACTCCCCCCCCCCCAACCAGGATAAGAACTCGCAAGCGTCCGATTGTGAGTGGCTCGCTCTAGCACTGAGCCACCCAAGGAATCACGGCAAACGTACGCCTCCAGCGTTGTTTCAGTGGCATTGGCTGAGGGGTTGACCAATGTCACCCTTTTTTTAACACCACAGCTGTAAGTGCTAATTTAGAGGAAAAAAAATTAACCACTTAAATCCACGAACTGAATCTCTTTTTGAGTTTCATAGTACAGTAGAAAATGTAATTTTATGTTTGGTCCGTGAAAATTAGCGTTTCAGGTTTACATTTGAGTGCTTTTGTTTGACTGGTGCAAATTTCTCTATATTGTTAACAAAGTAAATAAGCAGAAAACACGTGACTCATATCTGTCCCTCGACATGAAAAATACAAGTTTATACACATCCCATCAGCCACACGGTCTTCTGGGAGCACACAATCTTGGCAGCGATGGTTCAAAACAAACAAAGCTCTTGACCGCTTTTGACATTCAGTGTCTCAGGAGTTCTCAGGATCGCTTGGAACAGATGCTGGTGAATTGCCACATTGATAGGCAAAGATGACAAAGATCCCTCCTATAGCCTTGACATGCTGTTGGGGCAAGTGCTGTTTGCGAGTACCTATGAAGGCCAGCACACCGCACGAGGGGGTGTCCAGAACCATGCCTGGCCGCCTTGGTCTCCCTAATAAAGATCTTTACACACTGCACATGTACTCATTTTTAAGGCTGAGTGACCTAGGAAGGCCCGGGACCGGTTTAGATAATTATCACTGGTATTGGCCGTGAGCGGGAATTCTACTCGGATCACCGGGTTCATGGCGCAGCGCGTAATTACTGCACCACCACTCCCAAAGGATTCTCAACGTTAGACATGCATCCCAGCTCGACACAAGACCACACACTCAACACAATAACCGTAACTGTCTTTGCGGAGAAGACTATAAATATAGTTTGTACAGGCATACCCCGGTTTACGCCTATGATGCGTTCATGAAAACCAGAAGGTAAATTGAAAGCATTTTAGGTGGATTGTAACGTGGTAGAGTACCTAAACAGAGGATTCTGAGTAACCCATTGCGCATCTATACTGGGCAACCATCGGTGTGAAAAGTAAGTACAGTATATATTAATATTACTACTATAATAGCCCAGAAATGTCCCGCACGTGACGCCACTTCACATGCCGCACCCGCCCCCCCCCCCAAAATTAATTATTAAATAACCATGCGCGGGTGGATTTTTACACTCACGCGGAAGAAGGTTGAGCGGAGAAAGATATTTTTTTTTGCAAAGTTGCTTCAAATATGACGTTTCTTTACAAAAAGTGACGGTCAAAAATTAAGCTACGCAGCACAGTGCGACATCCGTGCGTGACGTCACTGCAAAAGAGGCCCCCCCCCCCCTTCATTAATATTCATGCCTTGTGGAAATTTACACTAACGCACAAGAAGGTCGCGCACTCCACATGCCGCACGCCTCCCCTCATTAATAATCATGAGCAGGTGACGTCACTCCACATGCCACACCCCTCCCCAATAACCATTAGCGGGTGATGTCACTCCACATGGGGCAACCCCCCTCATTAATAATCATGAGCGTGTGACGTCACTCCACATGGATCTCCCCCCTCCATTAATAATTATTAGCGGGTGACGTCACTCCACATAGGGGGGGGGGGGGCGAGGCGCCTCCTCCCTCCTCGGCGTCAACTTACAACCCTCACTACAGAGGCAGACCCCTCACGTCACGTGATCTCCGTAACGCTGTTGAGACATAGAAGTAAAAACGACGTCTTGATGAACAAGGGATTATAACCTTTAAATGAAATAAGTCTGTGTCACCGCGGCCTTACAAATTGCACACGAATTGATGCAATTAATATCACGTCGCGGTCTGATTTTCGCTTGCAAGTTTCAGATTTACTGCAATATACACCCGTCCTTGGACGGGCAAGAAATCTAGTTTGGCTATTATATTACCTTATCTATTATACTATGTATTTGTTCTTTATCACATCCAAATAGTTTACACCTGTATAAAAATAGTTACCATAAATACAGTATGTGGGGGAAAAAATGTTAATAGGATACACAGACTGTAGCCAGTCAGGGACGCTAACGCATGTACTTGTATGTTGAACTTTTCTCGCACCGTACGTAGCCAACTGTGCTAATTGGAGGTCCTTGGGTGCCATCTGGTGCCTACATGTTTGCCGTGGAACATTAAAGATTAGAGGCTGAATGGTAACGTTCGTAAATCTCGAGTACGTTATGGCGCGGTACACGGTACGTAAAACGGGATTGGATATAAACAAGCTGAGGCGGTTATAGCGAAAGTACGTAAAGCGAGAGGGCGTAAATCGGGTTGCTACTGTAAATGCTTGCCAGTCAGTGTTGTGCCATGAGGTTCTCGTTCGCCGTTTTCAGTGCATTTGGCATTTGCTTGTCTCCCGTTGGCAGTACGTGCTGAAAGAGAACAAGTGCGAGGATGAGCTGAAGATGCTGCGCTCAAAGCTGCGAGAGGTGGGTCTGACGTCGCGTGGCTGCCAGGGCTCCTCTGGACCAATAAAATTCACTGTCGGTGGGGGGGGGGGGAAACTGCACTGCCAGCAACTCCCCGATACTATCACCACACAGGGGAAGGTGACGTGGCCAGGCTGTCGGGCGCTTGCCGCAGAGGTTCAAATCTCATGGCCACCCTGGTTATTACCACCAGTGTATTGACAATTAAAATACTACACGTCCGCTTCATGGTGGATGTTAAAGATCCCGTGACGTCGTCCGCAAGTGAAAAGTAATACGAATAATGAATACTCTGGCACTGTAGGCGGTTGTTGAGTGGGAGGGCAGACTGGCAAGACAGCTGGTTTGGAGCCTGGCAAGGGAATCCGAAACCCGTGATTACACAAACGCTCGTGCGGCATGCGTGACTCGTCTTAGTGTCACTCTTTAACATTTAAGAGTGCCCGCTGTAGCTGCTCGTTCTCCGAGCAGAATGCCACGTTGGCCCCCCCTAATTCTACCATCCACAGGGCCATTGTGGGGCACTCTTTTGTGTGGTGAGGCTCAGGATAAATGACCGTTTATTGTAAAGTAGTCGCCGTTGTGAAAGCTGCTGCCTGTGGACCGCGTGACTCTTGCAAGGGTGGGGCGGGGTGGTGTAGCGGTTAGCGCTATGCGCTACGCTACGAACCTGATGACCCAAACTCTTTGGTTCTTTTGGTAAAGTCACATAGGTATAAAATAAAATAAACACGACGCTTCGGGCGCAACACAAGCGTCCGTCATCAGGTGGGAAAACATGGACTGCTGCTGAGGCAGACTGTTTGTTTTAAAAGGTTTAAAATGGGTGTAGCCCAAGGGTCATAAAGAAGTGGTCGGGGCTAGTGATGTTAACGTGAGAAATTAGCATGTAACTGTAAGATAGGAAAGCGGCCTCCTCCACGAGGGCACGGAAGTGGCTATGTTAATGTGAGAGATTAGCATGATGTTAATGTGAGAAATTAGCATGTAACTGTAGAAAACATAGCCACTGCAGTCACGAAAGCTTCAAATTAAGACTGATGACCCAAGTTCGATTCCCGCTCATGGCCACCAACACCAGTGACAATTACTTGAACTGGTCCTGGGCCTCTCCTAGGTCGACTCGGCCTCAAATGAGTACCTTATGCAGTGTGTAAACATCACCACTAGGGAGACAAAAGCAGTCAGGCGTGGTGCTGGCCAGCCACCCCCTTAATGTACCATGCTGGCCTTTATAGGTGCTCGCTAACAGCACTCGCCCCAAAAGTCTGTTAATGCTATATGGGAGATATTTGTTTTATAAGTGTAGCCTACATTGGTTTGTCATCCCTAATTCGCAGGCCTCTGTGACTGAAGTCTTTACACTGCTCAGTCTTACCCTTGAACGAGATGTGGATTGTGAGCTACTCCAAATGAAATCAATTTCCTGAACGCGAGCGTTGAGGTATTGGCGCCCATCTCCCATTTACAGACCTGCAAGAGCCAGTGCTGGATATTCCACGTTCCTATGGTGGGCCGAGTGTCTCCACAGGACAACCACTTCATCTTCCCCACGTAGTGCTACTAATCTTATTGACCCCAGAGGGAGGAGACATAATGGGCCGAGTCAACCCTCCAACCGGGATTTGAACTCACAACCTTCCGATTGCAAGCTGCTCCCTCTATCAGAATCAGAATCTTTAGTTTATCTGCAAGGAATCCGATGAGCTATGAAGCTCTTTTTCACAGACGTTCAGTACCGTTGAGCCACCTGCCAGAATTGCAAAATACTGGCGCCCCTCACGAAACGCACCCCCCCCCATAGCGAGAATTTGCAGTTACGCGGTTAATATTTTAGGGACATACTTGATGCTTACACTATTAATTCCACAGTTACGCGTTCAAGAAAAAACTAAAATCGTAAAATAAAAATTATTCTAAATGAAATAATTTGCAATCATGGCAGCGCCCAGTGTCACAGGCTGGGTGCAGCCATCGTAGATCTGCCATGGTTTGCACTGCGCACACGGTGCTGCAAGCAGCCCACAGAAGCGTTCAAGAAGCCCTGAAGTTATTCCTTATTAAGTAATCTTTGTGAGTAGTAATTTTTTTATCTTAATTATTATTTGTTTTTTTAAACTCCTTAAGTAATTTTGTAATGTTAAGAATATTTGTTTGATTAAGTATTACATTTACATGTATTTTGTCAATCTAGGGCTAAAATAACGAAATAAAATTATCCTTTATTTTTAATCTTATAACATGTATGCCTATGGGAAAATAGGCTTAATATAGTACGATTCGACTTGTGCACCATTTTTTCAGGAACGTGTGTTGCGCGTTATCTGAGGGACGCCGTACTGTAAAGTAGCAGAATTATTGATTACTTGATGTACATTTTGCAATCATAGGTGATGTCAACATTGACACAGGAGCATTCCTTCTTAAGAGTCCTTTTGGCTTTGCCACGAGCACGTTGGTTGTCAAGTGGCTCCTGCACTTTGTAAATTAACCGACATTTTTCTAAAATCTCCACTGAGCTTTCCATTAGTGGACGCGTGTCCGATGGGCGCGGAAAAACTTTATTTTGCGCAAAAAGTACGTTCTGACAATTGATGAAACAATTAATAGGCGTTAACCTTTCCGGCAAGAATACAGGAGGTATTAAAATGCTCAAACAACAAATAGACGCTTATCACAAGACATCGAGTAACCATTAACCACATGCTTCTGGCAAAACATGCAACAAACACGCCAAAAGGCGAACAGAGCAAATACAATCCTTTGATATTTGCATTGTCTTTGTGCTGTTCACCTTTTGGTGTTCTTTGGTCGAACAGTTTTGAGACCAGGCCATAAAGAGGAGGCTGTCTCTGGTGTAAGCCAATCGGTTTAAATTTCAAGGACAATACATACATTATAAAAGCATGTTTGTTCTCTCTCCCGTTCCACCCTGCGTTTCTTTCTTCCATTCCACTGTCTCTTCCTCTCCATGTTCTCTCTCCCGTGACCGCAGTACGAAAACCGTGCTGACGTCGGGCAGAGGAACGTCACCAAACTGGAGCAGCAGGTGGACTACATGGAAGGTGGGTTGGAGGTTGGATGGGTGGCGGGGGGGTCAGTGGGTGACAGGCAGAGGTTGGTGGGTAGGGGTGGGATGCTCGGTGGGCAGGGTGATCTATCTCTGGTACAGGCACCACTGCTCCGTCGTGCAGTCTGCAGCCCCATGCATCATTCCCTCCCATTGCCTCATTGCCCAAGCTCTTACATTAAGCTTACTCACTTCAAAAAGTATGAACAATTACCTATTGTATGTATGTATGTTGAAGTTATTTCACACTGTACGTAGCCAACAAATATATTATGCTAATGCGTAATATATTTTTGGGTCAGGCCACTTAATGATCTGGTCAGATTTATGTCATAAGACCCTCTAATTGCAAGATCTAGTTTTTGAGGATTGTTTTTCAACTCATCCGTGTGTGAGCTGAAACAATATTTATTGGGGTCTTAAGACATAAACCTGGTTCAGATCACGTCATCACCAGAAAATCTATTATGAATCATATTGGTTGCGATAACCTACTTTAATAGTGCTGGTTGTTTCTGGCCACTTGGCATTTTGGGCCTTTGGGCCTGTGCTCAGAAACTGTACAAAAAAATCGTAAGGAATCAGACCTGTGTGAATTTGTGTACACACATTACCTTCATCAGGTCACAATTGGCATAGGTGTAATGATGGAAAAAATATATTACAAAAAAGCAACTACCATCCTGTGTGCGACGGCAGCTACGGACACCAAACCATGGGCATTATAACATCGCACTGTGCCAAATATACATTTCAAGGTGGAGGGGTGGGTGAGTGTGTGAGTAACCACATGAGTATGTGAGTGAGGAGCGGTAGTGTAGCAGTTAGCACGCTGCGCTACAAACCAGACACCCTGCGTTCGATTCCCGTTCATGGTCAACAGCAGTGACAATTATCTGAACTGGTCCTGTCCTAGGTTGACTCGGCCTCAAATGACTACCTGGTACGGTGTGTAAACATCGCCACTAGGGAGACAAAGGTGGCTGCGTGTGGTGCTGGCCACCCACCCCCCCTTATGTGCCATGCTGGCCTTCATATGTGCTCGCTAACAGCACTTGCCTCAACAGTGTTACAGACTATATGGAGGATCTTTGTCCTGTATGAGTGAGTTGAAGGCTGTCACCATCTTACAACAGCAGAGAACGGAAGAGCGATGCTCACAGTGAACGGAGGGCTGGACGAGTTGGCATAGTGGGGAGCACAGTTGTTGCATCTCCCAGACATCTCAGTCAGTTAACCCATGGCACCTGGGTCTGTCCCGTGACCAGCCAGCGAACCTTCGACATTTCATGGCCTGGTACAATCACCGTGGTGACTGTCACCGCCACTTAGTGACGAACGGTGGTTGTTGTTGAGTGTATCTCTTACAACAGCAGTTCACCAACTCTCAGCCGAAGCCAATTGATTAGCTAAATCGCTAAGAACTGAATCTGTAATCATCACTCATTGGCCAAACAAAAACTTCATAATTTCTTGTGTTTTGTTTTCACCAGGTGAGAGCTTGCAAGCCGATGTAAATTAAAATGCAAAGCTCTGAGTGCGTTGTTGTGCTCACCCACTCCTGCAACTCTTTGTTTCAGAGCAACTGATCAAAGCCAAGGAGGAAAACATGGAAATCAACAGAGTCCTCGATCAAACACTCAACGAGCTCAACAGCATCTGAGCTGCATGCGTGCTGTGTGCTTGGTGCGTGCTTGGTGCGTGCTGCGTGCTTGCTGCGTGCTTGCTGCGTATTTGTGTGCGTGCTGCGTGCTTGCTGCGTGCGTGTGCTGCATTACGTGAGCCCCTGCACGCACTTCAAACACAGCCGCCTCTTCATGCGACCAGAGGAGGCTTCGGAATTTAAACGCTCTAATTGCGTTAATGTCAAATATGCTTGAAAAAATAAATGTGTGCACCCACGTGCTGCTGCTACATGCTGCAGGGTGGCAGCGCAGTGGTAACACTCGTGCCTAACAGCAAGAAGGACCTGACGTTGATTATCGACTCGGGCGCGTGGAGTTTGTATTTTCTCCCTCTGTTCTGCATATGGGTTTCTACCAGCTTCTCCAGTGTCCACCCATAGCTAAAATAACCACGCAATGTAACTGACATTGGCCAAACAGCCCATTGCTGAAAAATTATCTACAAATAATTCGATTGGGATTGCACACAGAGCAACATTACCCCTGCTGTTAAAAACGTGGTAGGACCCTGAGACTCGGCGAAGCGTTCCTGGATAAACAATGGCCATAATAACTCATAATATGACGTAGGTTTTTTCGCGGTTGTGCTGTACAGCTCTCTGCATGAGGGTTGAATTGGTCAGTTTTCCCAAGCGCGATGTGTAGAATTGCAGCGCGTTTTCTTGAGGCCCCGTCCTGATGGCATTGTGGAAAATTACCCATGATGCCCTCTGGCATCGGTGCGTGTTGCTCGACACGATCACCTTGCATCCTACAGTAAAGCAACATGATTGTACATCAATGAACGCGTTATTTAGGTGTCACGTACGATCATTTTGATTCGATCACTCCCCTGAAGTCTCATGCAGTCGTTTTTTAAAAACAATTCCAAAGCCTCCTCTCATCGTTTCGTGATCGGGTTAATCATCGTCAGTCACATGGCAGGGACCAATGCTCTAAAGTCATATTTCCCTTCGTCTATGCATCGGATTTTTGTAATTTTTTTTGAGTTTACGTTTAAAAGTACATGCCTGAAATATAGTGCCATTACAAGAGATCTTGGTAGGATTTCTTAAACTTTCCCTGGACCTTGTTTTAATAACCACAGCACCCTGCCGTGCTATGTGTTTTTTCATAGTGTGCACAGTGTCACGTTTTGTTGGCTCGTAGATTCCTTGACATCTAGAAATGTCCCAATACTATATTTGCGCAGAGGTGTGTAGTGCATTGCATCCCTAACCGCTGTGTACTGTGTTTAATTGCCATCTGATATTGATTAAAGTTTGTATGCCAAAATAATGTTTTTAATGCCAGCGAAACGAGAGTTTCGTTTCCCAAACAAGGCTCAATCCCTGCATTGTGCAACATTTCCACAGTTTCACTCTCGACAGTTTTCATTTGTTAAGGCTGCAGTTTAGTGCAAAACAACCAAAGTAAATGACTCTGCAAGGTGCACTTGGTGTCTGCATGACGCTGCACCTCGTTACACAAACACGACACGTGCTGCGTCTCGGTGCATCGATCTTGAGTTGTGCATTTTCCGCATTTCCATTTGATTCAGTGTTCGGCACATTTAATCGTCTATGAGCCAGAGCAGAGATTGGTATCACCTACGGTAGCAACACCTCAGCAATGCGTTTATACGGTCCATAAAAGTGAATCACTTGATCTGTTTTTACCAGATACTTTTTTTAACTCCGAAATTATGCCCATTATTTCATGACATACTTTCCAAATGCACAGCGTTGCGTGCTAAAATAAATGCGTGACCTTAGCAGCTATTGCAACATCCATCCCCTGTGAGCGATTAACTTTTATTACCTTTCCAAAACAGCGTGGTTATCGCGTAGCCTTAAACGTGCAGTGTACACGCCCGCTGAGACGCATCGGCTGCTGTGGGTAACTTCAGTCGGGCAGCGGTGATTTTAGCAGAAATGCTTTCCCAACAGAAAAGCTGAAAAATTCACAGCTCTGGTTCTTGTGGTGTCTCTGTTTAATTCTGTGCTGTAGGGGTTTTTTTTGTCGTGCGATCGCTTGCAACGTGCAAATTGGAAAGTGGCGAATTTTAATCTGGTAACTTGACATTCTGCCAATAACCTTTAAAAACACCCTCGCTTGTTTCTGAAATGCCATATACTGTAGTTTTACCATGTTGAGACCGGATCTGCCTGATGTAAAATTTCGACATCGCATCAAAAACCTGTAATAAGTTTGAATTGTATATAAGGAACTGTGTATGGAACACTTATGAAATCCCTAAAGTTTGCAAGCAGAGGTTTTGCTAAAGACGATGCTTATTGGAACGGGTAATGGAAAGGAACCAATTTATATTTAAGTGCCTTATGCGTTTATTTTCAAATTTGTCTTTGTCTTAAGAATCAAAAACTCGTCTACATCACTTTTCTTTATAAAATGTTAGTGTTCATTCTCTTGAACTTGATGCCACCCTGCCATTGTTGAGTTTTAGTACTTTGTGGGGATCTGGCCGAGTTGCCTCGGCGAGCGTTGCGTGCATTTTTAAGCCTCTATGGGTCATAATGGCTGGATTCTTATACACGGCTCTGGCTCAGCCATCGCTCAGGTACGGCTTGGGCTCGAGCCCCTCTGTTGCTTACAAACAGGCATGAGTGGATCATCCGTGGCCTGACTCAGGCTCAGCTCATGGGAATGCTGGGCATGGCTGGGACCTTGCACATAGGCAGGTCACGTTAAGCACGGCTTCGAGCCACGACTCACTTGAGCCAAGTCTGTCGAGCCCGTGAGAAAGGCCAAGCACACGTATTGCAGTTGAATGTGCCAACAGCCGACACGCATCGGAGCCACCTCGTTCATCATCGGCAATAAGTGTTATTTATAACGCGAACAAAGCAGAGAGGCGACATTTAAATAGCTGCCAGCGTTATTTGTGGCTTTCTATGCAAGTGCCTGCCATTTTAGGCACCCAAATCAAAATAGAGCTCCACCAGCGTTCCCAGTTGCAGGTAAAATTAAATCGCAATTACCCCAATGTCACCAGATAACTCTGCACGTCGAATAATCGCCACCATTCTGAGTGCAGCATTGGGTTCGGAGCATAGGGATATCGGCGGCACAATCCCCTATGTGTAATGAACATTCATATTAAGCAGTTGTACTGTAACGGTCTATATACACAACGGATGCCATATGAAGCCCGTTAAGGCCAAACATGTTTTGTTTTGAATTTGTACGGTTGCTCGAAGTACAGTAAACAAAATTGCCATTGTCAATATAACCGTCAACAAATAAAGCATGTAATGATTTGTCTCTTAATCAACTCGTGAACGTTCATTGAACCGTGCCTGTAGGAATCGATCACAATTACACTTTAATGCAAGTAAGCAAAGAGAATGCAAGTCAACGCAAAATAACACAAATCATTCTTGAGCAATTTGCGATCTATCATTACACGCAGCGATGAGTATCATCAGCCATAAACATTTAACTGCTGGATGAAGGCCCCCGCTAGCCGCTGCCACTTATCGCGATCCAGCGATGCAACAATCCATCTAGCACCTCCACACGAGCTGATTTCATCACTCCAGTAACGAGCGAAGCACTTTAAATCACTTGCACTGGTAGTGCTGAATGTTTTCACAAATCAACCAATGACTGCCACTGAAATTGCTCAAGTTGGATAACAATTGAGCAATTTGACAGACATGCATGCAGGCCAGGTGCCAAATCACCTGCCGCACAGGGAGAGCAGTCGCTGGGGGTGCCCATCAAATGTTTTTGATTAAATGTCAGGTGCTTTGAGTTACCGAGGCCATATAAATGCAAAAGTTATTCCCAGTCCTGCCAAAACAATCATTTAAAACGTCAACTTCATTTAGTTTAAAGTTGAGTGCGCTTGGCGTCCCAGAGCGTTGGGAATTATTTTGTTGTGTTTATCTCTGCGGGGTGTATTTTGTTTCATGGTAACAACACAGACGCACCAGCTGACCTGTCTGAACGCGCTTACACGTTGCGCGTCGGAAATCAGCGTTCGGATGAGGTTCTCGCCTGAATGTAAAATTGCTGCTTGAAACGTGACATTGCCAGGAATGATTCGAGAACGATCGACCGTTTGAGATGAACGTAGATCATGCAGCTGAATACTTGCATCGTTAATTGCTTGCAACTGGATTGATCGCTACCTCCTGATTACTCACGAATCCAGAGACATCTCCTGAAGCCAGCGACCATCGGCCCTTGTCTTGTGCTCGGCTTTTTATCGTGTCCCGTGTTTGGGGGGGGTGCCATATGTAATGTTTCGTATTCTAAATAAAAAATATAAAAGTCGTGTTAAACGCATTACAAGTTAGCATGTGCCAATTTACGCCTTCGTACCTGGTGGATACCTAGCCCTTGGTTGCATACAACTGGCCGCTTATACGTGCACGTCTTACAGCAGACGCATTTCATCAGGTACTGCACGTTTTGTGAACGATTAAACATTTGGTGCTGCTGCGTTGGCAGTGGGGCACAAATAATAAAACGTGAGGCTTGTCGATAACGCTACCTTTGAGGAAAATATAAAAGGTGACATTTCAAGCAAGAGCGCATGGATGTGTGATAAATGGCCATGCTCAAAATGTTGCCCATTATATTAGTGAACTGAATGTTGTCATGTTGTGGGTGGAGGAGGATTTAGCCACAAGAGGTGAGGCCAGACACTTTTTAACCACGCTTGTTGCATAACTAGTTGGTCAGCTGTGGATAAAGGAGTTGCAGGTGATTAGGTTGCACGGCACTTGGTTGGGTGCCGACTGTTCTCTATCCACCATGGAAACTTTTATTTCCCCACCACCCCATGTGTCCTCGCCACACGCCGTGTCCTCTTCTGATGGTACAAGTTTGAATTGTGTATTCACCATAACATGAACCGTTTGCTTTGCAGTAGACGTTAAAATATCCTGATTTGTACGATTGACTACGGTGCAAAAGACGTTCAACATACAAAAATAGGCCATGTGTATGCTGGCTCACTTCTGGACTCTGAATCGCTCTAAGAATGGCACGAATACCATATATACAAATCGATTTATCAGTAACATGTTAAGACCATGCATTAATGGCGAATAACAATGTTAGGTGTCGGGCCTCCACTTGGCTGGGTCATTGGAATTGACTCAAACTACTGTTGAATCTTGACTTAAAGCTTTAAAATGCTTGTTGCGATTGAAACGTCACGACTTTGATTAGTTTTTTTCTATCTACATGGCTTTACCGAAACACCCAAAGAATACTGTTGAGTTGTGTAAAAAGAACGAGAAGCTGTTAACATGGGAAGTGGTCGGACATAATTTGAAAGTTCATGTACCTAAGCAGCCCCACATAGCATCTTATTTTACCCGTTGAAACCATTTTTAATTAATTTTGGTGGATGTGATCTGCTACATGAAGCATCTTTTGAATTTTTCACGCTCGATCAATCCACTGCTGGTTGAGGGCTTCCCAATGCCGTGTAATGTGGGATTTGTTTGACCATACTTTATCAACTTGGTCAGTGCGGGTGTGGTGGAAGCAGGAGTGGCTGTTCAGATCACTGGCCACTGACAGTCATCACTGGGAATTCAACTCGTGGTAGATTGTGGATAATAAAATGGAAAATATTTCGCAATGAAGTGGCCAGGTGGTTCTGCAGTAGAGCGAGCAGCTCACAATCTGAAGGTCACGAGTTAAAATCCTATGTATTGACTTAAACCATCATCCCACCGGAAATGAGCACCACTGTGGAGATCAGGTGCTTGTCTTATCGATACTTACCCCTGTCATAGAATGTGCAATTTCCACCACGAGCTCACGGCTGCAAATGGGATGACCATTGCCTCAATGTCATTGAGCAACAACAAAAAATCACTTGACTTTGCTCTGAGAAAATAACACTGGACAATCAGCAGACCAATTGGTCTTGTGGACCTCTGCTGGTGGGACTCAGAAATCAAAACCAGACTTGTTCAGAATCAGAATCTTTATTTATCCTGGAGAAATGCGATGAGTTATGAACCTCTTTTTCAGTGTCCAGTTTTCCTGATTAAACAAATGCTCATCGTAAATATTGTTCCATAAAGCTATTTTACAGCAGAAATAATATGAACATGATAGGGAGGCATGACAAAATGTTTTGTCTTAAACATTTTGTGAATGTGCCATTACGTTTGCTGTGTGTGGGTATGTAGGAATCTGTATGCGAGTGTATAGGCGTATTTGTAGGCGTGCGAGTCTATATGGCGTAGGAGTTGGCGCACTGTGCTACAGACCCGGGAACTCGGGTTCGAATCCTACTCATTGCCAACACTGACTTTTATCTGAACTGGTCCTGGGCCTCCCCTCAGTCAACTCAGCCACAAATTAGGCCCTAATGTGCGTAAAGATCACCACTCGGGAAACAAAGATGAAAGGGCATAGTGCTGGCCACCCACCCCCTCGTGTGCCATACTGGTCCATAATAGCTATCCAGGAGATCTTTGTATGTGTCTATTTGCTATGTACGAGTAAAATCGACACACTGGACACCCTTGCAAACGAGACATTTCCCATCTCGAGGGATTATTTCAGGCGAAATGTATATAAAGTATGTTCCACTCAAATCACCAGCAACCGAAATATTTTGTTGGGATGCTTTATTACAATGAAATCAAGATGGGCAGACGGCACCTGTTTCGCCGCGTAGTTTTGACTACATCGGCATTATAAACGACGCACAATGTCATGAAAAGAGTAGTCGTGGGGCCATGATGTCCATCTTCACATCATTACGGGAGGCGGGAGAGACTAATGCTGCTTTCTCCTGAAGGAGCACCCTGCAAAGGAACAGAACACAACACGAACAGAGCTACGTCAGACATGACATCAAGGTTTCTGCATGAACAAAGTTTAACTCTGAGACGAATTAATTTTGGACTGTCTAGGGCAGGGGCGGGGAACCTTTTTTCTGCCAAGGGCCATTTGGATATTTGCAACATTCGCAGGCCATACAAAATTATCAACTTAAAAATTAGCCTGTTATATTTGGTCAAACATTTAATTAACTCACCCCTAATGTGATGGCTGGAACTGCTTCTCTTTGGTGAGGCGTGTGATGTTAGCTGGTATTGATAATGTTGCTACTCTCAACTGCCTTTCCAGGTTTGCTCCTAGATTTATTTAATTTCGAGTCCAACCTGTGGTTGCCTTGGCAGGGCTAAAGACCAAATGATTTTGCGGGCCTTATACGGCCCGCGGGCCGGACATTCCCCACCCCTGGTCGAGGGGATTGCTACTCATCTGCATTATCATTGCAATTGTTTACCCAGGAAGGAGGGTCCTGCTAATTATTCTCAGCAGTGGGCAACGATCATGAAGTGTTTCCCAAACAAGTACTTTTTACATTTTGATTTAAAGCTTTCGTGACTGCAGTAATTCATATTCTTAGCTCTTTCGGTAAAGTCACGTTGAAGGGAAACAATAAAATAATAAATATTGTTATATATATTTTATTATTTTATTGTTTCCCTTCAACGTGACTTTACCGAAAGAGCTAAGAATAAGTACTTTTTAAGTTTTCAAACGTGGCAAATTTGAACCGGGACGCCAGTACACTGTGGACTACTCTTGTGAATGACTTTACGAGATCTTTAACGTCCACCACGAGGCTTATGGCGGGCACGTTATGGTTAACACCCTATCGTGTTATTGATACGCTATGGCATGTATGGCCACTTTTCCAGAACGCCAGCCGGGGGTCAAGAAACTGGCCCCGAGATAGCGCCCCTCACCTTCTGTGAGTCGCGCCTTCCCCCCCGTGGGCTGGCACAGCACCGTGGAGCAGCCCACGCACAGCACCACCGTCTGGGCATGGCTGAACACGGTGGTGATCTTGTAGCAGCCTGTGGCACACAACACCCTCGTGAGACCTGATTCTGATAATAAAATAAGGATTCTAAGATATCTCTCCATTTAGGCTTAACGTTACGCTTGTTTTTGTCCAGGATCGGGTCTTGAGCCTTTCAGGTGGGTCCTGCCATGTTTTCACAGTAGATGGCTATGTTGCGCCATGTGTAATCCCAAATTAGTAATCTGCAAGTTCAATTTCAGCACTGGGATGTTTGGCCAATACCAGTTAGTGTTTTTTTTTATCTATGGGAGGAAACGCATGCAGAACAGGGCAATAACATACAACTCCACCCATAAAGGCAGCCAAGTCAGGAATCGAACCCAAGCTCTTCTTGTTGCGATACTTGAGTGTAACCACAGTTCCACCCTGCCGCACTTATAATCGTGACCAGGTAAACAATACAGGCAGAATTAGAATATGCATTTAGACTAGAGGAATCTGCTGAACTATGATGCTGTTTTATAAATGTTCAGTAAAGGTGGGTCAGCAAGTTACAGGCGATGGACAGTAAGAGTTTGAGCGAGTTTTATCCGATACCACCATTGTTTGCGTACAGCCATTGGTCAATCCACTGCTGGATGAGAGCGTCTCCACACTGTGGATTATTTGAGCAAATCGTAACGACTGTGATTGGACAAAAATTGGGTCTCTATACAAAAATATTTTCGAAGAGCAGCAAGGGTCAGACTCGGTTTCTTTTACTACATTGGCAGCGAACAGAGAAGCGAATGGCTGGGTGGCTCAGCAGAATGAGTGGCATGCAATCGTAAGCTTGTGAGTTGGTGTTTGATAAAATAAGTATCACTTTTTGGGTGTCCTATGGATAGACTCACCCCTGCTATAAGAACATGGAATATCCACCACTGGCTTTGCAGGGCTTTTAACAGATGAGTACCAATGCCTCAATGCTTATTTGGGCAAAAAAAATCACTGCGACTTGACACGTTTATTGGATGGATAACGCTGATAGTTGTGCAACAGACAATAACAAAAAAAATGCTGGTGTTTTGTGAAAACAACAAACCACGGCCAGAGAACCCTCGCGATCCTCGGGCCACCAGGTAGGGAAACAGGCGTTTGTAACCACCTAAGGTGGTCGAAGAAGATTGACTGACGCTCACTAGCGGCTGCTGTACCTGGGCATTTCACATCCATGAAGTAGGAGTTAGGGCTCTGAACGAGACGCTTCTTCTTGTGTTTCCTCTTCTCTTCGACGAGGGACGGATGCAGTAAGTCTTTGGCGAGCTGCGAGGACAGGCAGCATAAAGCAAAACAAACACAAGGCTTAGATTACAAAGATAGCCACCCGCTTCTATTGTGCGACCCACAGCCCAGGAAAGTGACTTTCACCTTCACGGATGCACATACTTTCACACTGCTACTCTTCACGCAAGGCTTCTAAATACGAACTTCACCAGTTTTAAAAGTACCTTCC